GGCGTACTTGATTGAGCAAACAAAGTTTTTATGCTCAATTTTGTATGTAAAATTATTGAAAAGCGCGCGATTTGGGCTTGTTCCGAGTTTTTTTCCGCTGCTGTATCTTTCGCTAGTCAAAAGATTCAGACGGCTTCTCTTGAATTCCAATTCGCGAAGACCCTTCCCAAGGAAGGGATTTTCGAGTTCCATAGTGGACCTCTGTTACAGTCATACTGAGAAGTTCAGATAGCGAATAATATTCTGTCCGAAGAAGCTGTCCTTGGTTATGAGTTCGGCTTCTCCCTGGACCATCCACGACGGTTATGCGTATGGGAAGCTCAGTTTGGAGATTTCTTCAACGGTGCTCAGATCATTATCGATACCTTTTTGGCCAGTGCGGAAAGTAAGTTTCTGTTACATGTTGGTAGTGCCGCTTAAAAAAAGTGGTTGGGAAGTGAATGTGAGAGTAGGGCAGTCATTCTGCTATTCCACGTGTTTTGGGCTGTATTATGGAGCACAGTCATCTGCACTTGCGTATACCATGCTGGGTTCAGCATCGTTGGGAAAATCCCATCAGTGGGTCATCATACATGGTCGCTGGGGAGTGGATGTGGTACCTACCTTCGACAAAATTTTTTCGGGCCGTGAGAAAATTTTCTGCAACTGTTGACTCCTTAATTTTACCCGTTTCATTTGCGCTACATCCCACCCTAGTCGCTTGCGCCACAGAACTATTATCAATTTTTGAAGATGTTTCATCACTATAGCTGGATTTAAACACCACAGGTAGTGCTTCCAAAGTTATCGCCAGAATACTGTATTAGGTGCCTGGAAGCCTTGACTCCGGGCGGGACTTTGAGCCATACCGACGGCTTTTATGCCGTCAAAGCTTTCACGCCTCAAAGGATGGCGCACTCGTTCGGAAAATGCGAGGTTTGGGTTGCCATAACTCAGCGTTCTGTTCTACACCCACACCGCTCACACCACCGCCCCTCCCCATCTTTTCCCCGATTGGCAACTGCAGTATTTTGAGAAAAACTGAAAAAGTTGTAGAAAGGTGGGAGAACTTTGTAACATGTAAGGGGATCGTACTAGATGGTAGGTCGTAAATTAATCTCATTCGCGCAGTGCAGCTTGCGTTACCTTCAGTCATAATCTGTCCTACTGAAGAGCAATCCCTGTACAATTCTCATAGCAAAAAACGCTGAAATTCGGTCATCCAAACTGCAATTTGAGAAGTTCTCCGACACATTACAGGTAAATGGTTGACGCAGTCCGGACTGACTTTGCTTCTACCACATGGTATCGATGGAGCTGGTCCCGAACACAGCACATGCCGAATGGAGAGGTGAGTAACTGTGAATCCCTCTCCTGTAAGCATCGCGATTGCTTTCTAGATTCTTACAACTATGTGATTCTCGAGAAGATCAAGTACCGGTTGATGGAGAGAATGTGAATATGCGAATAGCAAATCCGACTACATCAGCGCAGTATTTCCATCTTCTCCGAAGACAGGTGAGGAAGAGCGTTTGTACCTTAATAGAACTTTGGAATAGCTTACTGAGAATGAACTGAACTGAGACTACGATTTCTGCGAAGGCAAAAGCTGTAACCTGCTCAGTAATTGACGTTTCTGCGGTATTGAGTTTTAGAAAAGATTGGACGATTGGTTGCTTCTGACGATGGAGCTAAACCGCTCCACAGCTTCTCTTTTACATGAGGTTTGTGGGAAGAGAATCGTAGTTCGCCGCGCCAGCGAGCGTCACGCGCGACCTCACGCCCGCTAATGACGACGACTACGATTCTCTTGCCCGTCTCCCCTTTTACATATACGTTAGCTTCAGGCTTCAGCATTGGGTCCGCTCAATAAATAGAAGAAAAGTCGCAGTGTGTGGAGATGTTACAGATTTCTTTCGCATCTTATAAGATCTCACCAAAGCTGAGCTGGCTAAATTCCTATATGCTCGCTTAC